CATTTAGGCACGTACAGGGAGGAAGAAAGGAACTAAAATATATTGAGCCTCCAGTATATATCAGGCCCTGTGCTGGGCACTTTCATGTGTCATATCATAGAATCCTCACAGTTACCCTGGCCAAAGGCATTACTATCCCCATTTCACAGCTAAGGAGACTAAGTCTTGGAGTAGATTTTGAATTTGAACAGAAGGTAAGAGTCCATAGCGGTGCGTTTTCATTCCCTAGACACTGTGTGTGCTGGTTAAACTGTTTGCTGTGTCTCCTCCTGCCCAACTCCCTCTGCCCTGTTATGAGAAGCTGACCTCTATGTACTACCTACCATCATTCAGACTACCTTGTCCCTGGGCTTCTGTTTGGGTTTTGCCAATGGAAGGTACTAGCTGGAGACTGGAGAGCAGGAGGAGAGAGAAAGTTTAAGACATTTATTTCTCTGCTTCCTCTCTGCCAGGTCAAGCTCTTACAGTGGCTGCTTAGCGCTTCATGGCCATAGCTCTTGTCAGGTGGTCTCTTTCAGACTGTAGCTCTAACTGGGCTCTGGTAACAACACTCCCTCCCCATTTCCTATTCAGGTCAAGGAATTACTGACTCACCACCATCGTGTTTACCATTCCTTTCTAGTTCTTTTAACACTGATCACACCTCTGTAAACGGACCTTTGGTTAAACTCTCTTCAGTTAAACCCTTTTGAATGCACCATTTTTCTGCAAGGACTCTAGCTAGGAAAACAATGGCATGTTCTTTTCCTTTGCACTTGAATTTATTCCATTTCCAATATCCACAATAGGGTCTGCTTCCTTTCCTCTATCCTTCCAGGTCTACCGGGTCTCCTAGGAAGTCTCTCAAAATATGTACTCCATTACCTACAGAGAAACACTGGTGTAACCACTCTTGTGCTGAATCTAGTGTGACATTAGCACTCTGTTGTCCTTGACGTTCTATGACCTTTCGGCTTTGTTGGTCTGACCATCCCAGCAGGGCAATAACTCCTTAGGAGGAGGGAACTTTAGCAGTTAGAATCCCTAAACAAACGTATTTTAACTGGAAGGAACCTTACAGTTTATCACGCCTAACCTCCTTATTTTACAGATGGGGAGGCTCAGGCTCACACAGGGAAAGTCTCTCACAGCTATACAGTGGCAGACTAAGTCTATAATCTAGATCAGGGGTTGGCACTGTGGCTTGCAAGCCACATGTGGCTCTTTGGGTACGTTCCATCTCAAAAGTTTGCCTGGAAGAGCCAATCCTGTCCCTCACAACAATTTAAAAATTATTTGAAAGCCATAAATATATTTTTACATAATCACCATTATGTGAATAATATCCTTTAAAAATTTTATAAATGAAA